TTTGGGCGGTGCTACAGTCCCTTCAGCGGTGCCAAGTTGACTGTCGGTATATCGAAGTGCTGAAGTGTTTGTACAGTAGGGCTACGATGGCTATCCGAGTACAGAACCAGAGTACGAAACCTATCCAACTGCAGAGAGGTGTAAGACAGGGTGACGTTATATCCCCGAAACTCTTCACCGCTACGTTGGAAGACGTTTTCAAGCTACTGGACTGGAAAGGATACGGTATTAACATCAATGGCGAGTACATCACTCACCTTCGATTTGTCGACAATATAGTCCTTATGGCAGAATCGCTGGAGGACTTAAGCACTATGCTCAATGACCTCAATGGTGTCTCCCAACGGATAGGTCTTAAGATGAACATGGACAAAACAAAGATCATGTTTAATGTCCATGTCACACCTATGCCGGTAGTTGTTGGGAGCACTATGCTCGAAGTTGTTGACGAGTACGTTTACCTGGGACAAATAGTCCGACTAGGTAAGTCCAACTTCGACCGAGAGGTCAATCGACGGATTCAACTCGGCTGGGCAGCGTTCGGGAAATTACGACACATCTTCTCGTCAGGTATACCTCAATCTCTGAAAACTAAAGTGTATAACCAGTGCGTGTTGCCAGTGATGACTTACGGATCTGAGACGTGGTCCTTCACTGCTGGCCGTATGAGGACGCTCAAGGTCGCTCAGCGAGCTATGGAGAGGGCTATGCTCGGAGTTTCACTGCGTGATAGACTCAGAAATGAGGATATCCGCAGTAAAACCAGAGTGACCGACATAGCCCAACGGATTAGTAAGCTGAAGTGGCAATGGGCCGGCCATATAGCTCGAAGAACCGATAACCGATGGGGAAGAAAGGTTCTCGAGTGGCAGCCTCGTACCGGTAGGCGTAGTGTAGGGCGACCCCCCACTAGATGGAGTGACGACCTGGTAAGATATGCAGGAAGTCGATGGATGCAGGTGGCTCAGGAACGTGCTTTGTGGCATTACTTGGGGGAGGCCTATGTTCAGCAGTGGACTTGTGAAGGGCTGTGATGATGATGTTGATATATATATATATTTATATAAGTATTTGAGCTGACGTATGTATTTAATTTATACCCATATGTGTTGTATAATAACAAAGTACACACCTTATAATCATTTAGTAATCATATGTGTTTGAAACTGGCCTACTGGAAGAAATTTCATTGTGAGATAAGTAGAGCCTTTGTACAAACTTTTTATCATGATGTGTCCTCTCCCTAACTTGTGTGTACATAAATTGTGAAATAGATAAATAAATAAAAATAGATAGATTTATTTGCTTAAAAACATGGTACAAAAGATGATCAATGACGTGGAACTGACATGGTTTGCCATAATTGGCAAGCAAAAATGACATGAAATACAGCTAATTACACAAACCCAATGTTATAAACTATTGCATTGCTTAAAAGTTAGGTACAAACATTCTTTTTGAAATCAAATATTATTTACAATTATATACTTATACAGATCCACTCTATTTGAATTCTTATACAGTAAATTGTTCATAAATTATTCATTTGTTACATAAATAATATTAAATATTATATTAGTTAAGCTAATTAATAATTACAATACAGTATAAATTAATTCATAATTTTAATTACACTAAAATTAAATCTTAGGCTATTATGCAAATATTACCATTTAACTTATTTTACATTTTAATAAATAAATAATAAATTTGAGTTACTAATCGTTTTTAGAAATAAAATGTCAATGTTCATTAATTCCTTAAACTAAATTTTATATTAATATAATAAATTTGACGAATTTATAATTAAATATGTACATATGTACTATGGTATCTCAAAAAGAAAATTCTTATTCGTAGAAGATGATGAATTGTGGTTTTTATCGTTGAAATCCCATATAGTTTTTTCTGATTCCAGCAGTTCTAAAAATTTTATTGTTTTTCATTATTCCACTCGAAAAGCATTTTGGTAGATCGCACTTATTTAATAACAAGACGGCATGCACGTCCGTTCAACCAGGCGCTTGGCGCGAAGTGAGCGATGGAGCTGAATGTGAACACTCACTGCCGCTCCTTTGACTTCCGTACGAAAAACCGACATTTGAGGGATCGTCGGGCAGTGGCAGCGGTAGCGGCAGTGTCAGCGCGAGTAGCCTGTTTACATACTGCCCTGCCCACTGCCCTGCCCACTGCCCTGCTCACTTCCCTGCCCAACAGGGCTGAATGTAAATGGGGCATAAAACTATATGTAGAATTATTTTTTTTAACTCAAAAACCGACTCAATTAATAGGGTAAAGGTCAGTGATGCTTAAAAAGGCACATTTTTTGTTAGTTACATAATTTTTGTTGTCCATATCGACACCTCGGGGCTCAAAGGGCGTATAGCACATTTTGGTCAAATAGAGTTAGTTACACCATTTTATTCAGTTTTTCATTCTCTATCGAACTACATATTCAAAGTAGCGAAATTCTCGAAAAAATGTTCTTTACTACCCCAAATTTTGGGGCTTTTCGTGCAAATTTAACGTGAATTATGGCTGTAAATCACAAATTATTCAAGATTACCTATCGTTAAGTTTGTATAAATTGAGTATACTTAAAGGTTAAGGATCTAAAGCACATAATGTTTAAAAATTGTTCTTTACAACCTTACTAGATTTCAAACGAAAACCATATTGTCCTTTACTACCTAACTACATATTTAGAGAAACTAGAATTGTGCTTTAATACCTAGCAAATATGAAGATTTGTCTTATACGCCTTCTATCTAGAAACTAAATTGACCTTTACCACTAGTAACAGTAAACAGATAATTGAATAAATACAACCCAACCAACATTATCATTATTTCTCACTTATACAATTTCCGAAAAGGACGAATCCAGACGACCGACGGCCTAGACACTAGCGCTAGACAGAGACAGAGCTATGTGGAAAGTTCTTTGGTTGTCTTCATCGCGAGTTTATCAGTTCCCGCCCGCGCCCCTGTGCTTACCGACTCCACTACTCCTGAGTCCCGACAGACGTCACGTTTAGTTGTAAACAAAACAGCGAAGTGTTAACGGCGTTTTGTCTTAGGTTGTTTTGAAATTAATTGAATGTTAAAGAAGATAATTAAGTTACGTGAATCGCGATGGAAAATTATAACGAAGAGAATAGCCAACTGAATGAAGCGTAGAAATCAACTAGCTGCATTGGCTAATTATCATCGAAAAATGTTAAGGTAACTGCGTATTATTGTACTGTCCTCGGAGTACTGTGCTATACGACCCTCTATAAATTTCCTCTAGTCTCAGTAGTTCAGTCGTTTTGTCGGGTTACCTCCCTCTCAGAAATGAGGGGAGGCCTGAGCCCAGCAGTGGGACGTGTATAGGCTGTAACTTTACTTTACTTACTACTTTTTTGTCGGGTTCGGTCATACTAATTGTTTTACGTTTTTTTTTATATAGGAATTGTGTGACAAATGAGCACACAGTCCACCTGATGGTAAGTGGATGCTGTGGCCCATAGACATCTACATCTATCCTCGATTACGAATCAAAATGCAGATGCGTTGTCACCCGTGAGGACTAAGATGGAATGCCTCGTTTCCAGTAAAAAGGGTCTCCGGTTCTCTACACTCACCATACGAAATACAGCAGCATTAAGCTACTATTTCACGCTGGTATTTTGTGAGAGCGTGGTCCTTCCCCGGTCGAGCCGACCCATTCGTGCTACAAATATACTACTAATATAACTGCAGCATGGCTCTACCACGTACTGTTCTTTTTATATTTTTAAATCTCTTTTGTATTTTGGTATTATGCTGACAAAATTAAACGTTTACCAAGTGGCATAAGTGTTTATTTTCCAGAATTTTTGCTACAAAATACCGGTCCCGAACGACCGAACTATACCACCTACCCAACTTTCTCATACAAAGTAGAGTGCGACTTTCTAACTTATGGTTTTGGCAATAAAGGTTAAATTTAAGTGACTTTTGTTTTGGCGCGCTTATTAGAATAGTTTTTCGACTTTCTGTAACACATAATTGCATAGTGTAGGTGTTGTCCTCGGAGTACTGTGCTATACGACCCACCAAAAATATTTTATTTTGCCTTTACCACCTACATATAATAATCCTGATATAAGTATTCGTTACATTCATAGGTCTTTTTTCGCCTTTACATTGTATTATACCTTGTATAGATTCCTAGTGAATTCTCTTTCAGGGCGAGAAATTCCTGAGAACTCTGGCAAAAAATGTTTTCTTGACTAATCACTATACTGCAGAGATGCTTCAGAAAGGTCCTGTAGAAATTACGGCGATTCTTTCACTCATCATTGCATCCAACTTTTACTACGTGATGAACTCTGAATTGGCAAGAAACATAATTATCAGTTGTTCCATACTAATCTTCAATACCTACTTCATGAAAAGGAATAGGACAGATGATTTTTTTTGGTATTTCAGGGTTTGTCCCATAATAAAATAATATGTATGTATTGAGTAAAACCACTCCCTGAATTCCTACAGGACCTTTCAGTAGCACCCAGAACCTCTGTGGAGTAAACGCATGTTGTTTTTGAAATATTTTCCTTTTATTGACTAATTTTAGCTTCTATGTAATTTATTTCTAATTTATGTCATTTATTGAAAGTACTCGTTTTATTTTTAGAACATGCACGCATGTACCAATTCCTGAAGTAAAACCGTTTCATCCCACAATGACTGAAAACGTTACCAGTTTTTCTGATGAAGTAGGATGTTCTCTAGCTGAGAGCCGAAAAAGTAACGACACCGATGTAATAGAAGACAGCGAAGATGAAAACATTAGTCAAAGGGGGAATATACGTCGTTTGGTCATATCAAACTCAAGTGGCGAAGATAACATAGCTACTTCGACGATTACCTTTCCTCGCTCACATACTTATTTTGGAAATGAGCATCAAGCTAGTCCACTAAAAACAGATAACGGTATTAGTAACCCAAACAAAAAGTAAATCCACATACTATCAGATGTTGTTATAAAAGATTCGAGAAATGCTGAAATATCAACCATTTCTGAAACCCGTAAGTACAACACGGTCGCTACCACTGACGTGGCCGCATCTTGTACAGCAGCTGCACCATCTGATGCCAAAGAAATCTGTAATGAAAATAGGGATGTTACTACTTACGGATCTCTTCAGCAGTCTCCAAAATCACAAGCAGCAGAACTATTTGGTGCCAAAGCTTCTGTTTCTGGAATGTGTAAAGAAAACTTTGATGCTACTACTTACGGATCTCTTCAGCAGTCTCCAAAATTAGCAGTGGCAGAACCATTTGGTGCCGAAGCTTCTGTTTCTGGAATTTGTAAAGAAAACTCAGATGCTTTTACTTACGGATATCAACTACAGTCTTCCTGCAAACAAGTACCAGTACCATCTGATGCTAAAAGAGCTATCGAGTTTAAAACCCGCAAACAAAACTCAAATTCTGATGTCAAAAATATTAGTCTATTTGAAGATCATACGGTTGAAACTACAATGGATGTTATTATCTGCACTGAAATTCACAGAACTACTTTGGATGGAGCGCCTAATCATGCTGAAATTGACAAAAGGACAAAATCAGGAAAAAGAAAGAGGAACAAAACAGTGAAGAAATCTTTTATAGACTTTTTGTCCGACGAAGAAAAACTAGACTTCTCGTCGGGTAGTTCTGACAATTGGTCATGCAAGGAATCAGACTCAAGCAGTGGTGAAGAACACTTTACCAATAAGATGAAGAACAAGAGAATTAAGAAACGTGCTTGTGTAATATTTGGGGAAAATGAACAAATAAGAAAAAAAGAGAAGTCAATTAATAAACGTAAAACTACTAAGACCTTAAAAGATGCAGGAAAAAATTATGAAAACAAGAGTGGAAAACTTGTACCGGAAAAAAAAATGAAACCTAATCCATGTATTCCTGGCAAGTGTGCCAGAGGGTGTTTTAACATCTCTGAAGAAAGGCGTACTTCTTTGCATCAATATTTCTGGAGTTTAGACACGCAGCGTAGACGGGATTGGATAGTACTTTGTTCTCAATTAGTTCCCATAAAAAGGAGAAAAAAGGAAAGTTCATCGAATCGAAGAAACGCAACGTACGAGTATTTAATTAACCATGGCGAAGGCTACAAACAAGTGTGTCAGAAGTTTTTGCTCGATACCTTAGACATTACTCAAAAATATATGTCGTACACCATATCACATGCTACAGAAGGTATGGCCCAAAAAGATAACAGAACACCAAATGCTCCACCAAAATATACAGAAGCAGCAAAAAGTTACGTGAGGAGCTTCATTGAAAAACTTCCTGCAGTGCCGTCGCACTATAACAGAAAAAGGACTAACAGAACGTATCTCCCACAAGAACTGAAGAACGTAACAAACTTATATCGTATTTATTTAAAAGATTGCAATGAAACCGGCCAAGAAAATGTTAGTGGGACTGTATTCAGAAGTATTTTTAGGGAATACAATATCAGCTTCCATATTCCAAAAAAAGATAAATGCATAACATGTATCAACGCTGAAAACAACAAAGAAACCATGACTGATATTGATAAAGAGTCGATGAATGCACATATTGAAGAAAAAAATGCTACAAAACTGAGATTCAAGATCCATCAAAATCTAAGGACATTAAATAATGAAACAATCGTTTCTAGTTTTGACTTACAGAAAGTTTTAAACACACCGCATGGGGAAAGTATGCTGCTATATTATTCTCGTAAATATGCAGTTTACAACTTAACATTTTATGAAAGTGGTACACAGGACGTTTATTGTTACACATGGGGAGAGTGTGATGGCAAACGTGGGAGCAATGAAATAGCTACTTGCCTGTTGAAGTATCTAGATGTGATGGACAGAAAAGGCACAAAGCACCTAATACTGTACTGCGACTCATGTAGCGGCCAAAATAAAAACAAAATAGTGCTTGCTGCTGTGAATAATTATATCAAGACGGCTACTAATTTGGAAGTCATACAACTTAATTACCTGCTGCCAGGGCACACTTATATGCCTGTCGATGCAGTACATGCAGTGATAGAAAGAGAGGTCAAAAATCTAATAGTTTATGCTCCTTCGCAATGGGCGACCTACTTTAAATCCGCCCGCAAAAGACCACGGCCATACAAAGTTCACTCACTGGATCACACAGATTTTCTTAACTTAGATGACTTAGCTGCAAAGACATTCACATCAGCAACATTAAAAAAACTAAAATGCAAACAAGTAAGAATCGCCACATTTAAAAAGAAACATCCAAACCAAATGTTTGTTAAATACTCGATGAAACAAGAATCAGTCTCTCATACAGTAATATTATGTGAAAACATATCAAGGAAGGGAAAGGAAAGAAAAGGGAAAGGACAGTTAAAAGGGAAAAAAGACAAGCAAATAAAAATTAATGAGGAGGCAAGTAGGGCGGGCGGAGTTTTGTACGATTCCAAATTAAAAATAAGTAGTATGAAATACCGAGACCTAATACGTCTTTGTGATACCGGAGCCATTCCAAAAAGATTTCACGAAGAATATCATAAACTTCCGCACGACTCAAACGTGCGTGAGACTTTAAATGAAACCGACGATGAAGAAGAAGACGATGAAAAGGAAGATTGAGTATGATTGAGTAACATTTTTGGTAAAATCTATTGTTTCACTTTTGAATAATAAATATAGTAATTTTCTATTACTGTTTTATTTTATAAGTATTGGACAAAATAAAGTTACAATTTCAAATCAATAAAGTAATACTACATAATACGAAGATCACTCACTACATAATTTATATCAAGTAAATAAAGTTGCATACTCAAATGCAGCAATCTATACAGACACGCATACATTCACACATTAGTCTTGGCCACTACGTGTGCAAACGACAACACTCAGATTTAAATATTCACACTTAAACGGGACTCAGTTTTTTCTTAGTTTTCATCATGCGTACAGCAAAGGAGTGTAATATTAAGTTGCTACCATCTGAGTTTCCAACCGATTACAATGTGGGTGTCTTCAAGGTAAGAGTGGCTTTTGTTAAGTCAGTGCGCTTCACCATCTTAGGCTACATCACCACTCACCATCAGGTGGGATTATAGTTAAGCGTTGGCTTAGAATAATATATATATACATACATAGACACTCACGCCTGTCACCCAGTGCGGTAGGCAGAGACTATGGACTTCCATTTGGCACGATCCTGACACACGTCTCTCGCTTCTTCCATATCCATATACCTACGCATACACGCTCGTCCGTTAAAGGTACTATTGATTTGGTCCATTTTCAATACATCGCTAATTTGGTCGATAAACTTTCTCCTAGGGCGTCCGTTCCCGACTCTGCCGTTCAACTCTGCAACATAAATTTGCTTTATCACTCTTTCCTCATTCATTCTTTCTACATGACCAAACCACCGAAGCATTCCTTTCTTAATCCTGGTCACAACATCATTTTGCAAACCACACTCTTCTCTTATCAAACAATTTCTCATCTCTGTCATTCAGATTCACCCATAACATACTCCTTAATGACCGCATTTCTACAGCATTTATTCTACTCTCGTGCTTCTTTTGCCACACCCAACTTTCACTACCATACATTAAAGTAGGGACTAACACAGCATTGTGAATTGCTATATATATATATATATATATATATATATATATATATATATATATATATATATATATATATATATATATATAATGGTTAGCGGAGTTCTGATGACTTTTGTTGTTCGTCTATGATTTTTATACCCTAATAAATTGTCTTATACTACTATAAAATAAAACGCAAGTGGCCTTTACCCTAATTATAATTTCTATTTTGAGCGATAGGTTAGACTTACGCCCTAAAATTCCCACACAAACTAGTTTTTGAGGGGCGTAAAGAACATTTCTTTTTTTGTTTTTGGTCGTATAAGAATAGCTATTTCTGTAACGACTAGGCAGAGGCATTTTTTTTAGATATTACATGAAAATGCAACTAATTCTAAGAACTTTTGCCATAGATTACATTTAGATAGCACTTCAAATAAAAAATATATCGGCGAAAATTTTTATTTTTTTTAGTTTTTTCGTTCTCCTGAAAAGTCGCGTTTTGTGCTATACGCCCTTTGAGCCTCGAGGTATCGATATTATTTATCTGGATAAACCATTATTTTCATAGTCAGAATTCATTATTTCATATGACTTCTAAAACTCACGTTCCTATAAACTATTTGTCTTTTCTAAATAAAAAAGAGATCAAATCAGCAACCAAAAACAAACAATCATAACATGCTACAATATGACGAGGAACAAAATTCTTCTTGTATACTTTTTCTCTGCTTCGCCGAAATTATTCAAAAGAATGACCATTCAAATAAGATTGGATTAAAGCCTTTTTAAAACTGTTCACTTAAACATTTCCCTTTTCATAATATTAATTTCACCAACATCCGGATGGAATTGGCAAAATTAATATCCGCCTAAATAGTGTGAAATTGTACAGGTATATTAAAACCGATGACAATACTAAAGTTTTGAAAACATTACCTAGTTTTCCGACAAGGATCATCATAGCTATTCATGTGATTACTTTATTTTTGTCTATGAAATTCAAAGCTTTCGATCTGAAGTTATCAAAATGATCCCATAAAGAAAACTGATACACTAACCACATTTTGAAAAGCCATCAGATGTGCATGAAAGAAACTCACTCATTTGGTGACTGTCTAATGAAACTCTAATCAAGATATTTCACCTGGTCTGTAGTTATGATGAGGCAGCGTCATTTTTATCAGGAATTTTAAGGAAGTCATTATATATGACTTCCAAAAAATGGTAAATAATATACATAGTACGATGGTAAGTGAATACTGGGTTGCATTGAAACATACTTCTTTCTTCGAATAAGAATCAAAATTTTAAGACATTGTCACCCCTGAGGAATAAGGTGAAATGTAACCAGTAAAAAAGGTATGCGGCACGCATCACAGGAAACAGCAGCATAATGCTGCTATTTAACGCAAGTATTCTGTGATAGTGTATTTTCTGATATAGTCCACCATACGTCCTTAAATAGTTTGCAAAAAAGTTTGAATGGATTTTTAGACAAGCCATGACTGTCGTTCTTCATTGAACTTTGCTGTGATCATCATCCTCAATCTCTTTCTGTTGCGCTTATTTATCGAGATACTAGAACATGTATAAAATACTAAATGTTTTGAAGTTTTTATATATATATATACATACGTACATAATAGAAAGGGGAAGTGGGCAGATCCCGTGTAGCCACTAAAATGTCAATTCACACCTATAAATGTCAACACAGTCAATCGTTTCCAATTTTCATGTCAATTGTCGCTGCATGCAAATTATTTAAAACATGGCAAATTGTGCAATAATTATGTGTCAAGAGAACAGCGGAAAATGGAATTTAAATAAACAAGGCATATTCTACAAGCAGTAAGTAGAAACTATTTATATTTTGTGAATATTAGAAACGAAACTAAATAAATATTTATGTGTCGAAAACGTTAATCAAAAGTCTAAAATGTGTTTGTAGTATGTAGTGATAACTGATAATACGACGTATTTGCTTGTATAATATGTGATCCCGGCGACGCAATTCCTCATACAAAATAATTTTGACAGCCATTCTATTGTATATTATAGAAAGATATGGTAATAATATATCATATACATTTTGTAAATAGATAAACAACATATTTTAGCATTTTGAGACAATATTATTTTGCCTAAAAGAAATCACAGGCAACAGAGTATTAAGTAGAATGTATATATTATATTAATTGCACATTTATTTGTCCCTATGAAGCAATTCACTATGGCTTAACTCGAAATGATACAAACAATGTTGTCTTTAGCTGACAATCTATTAGCGGAAAATGACTTATAATAAAATGCGACGGTCGTGAATTCAATGACTGATCGTAATACACAATATAACGTTTTGTTCTTCTCATTGTAATACGAGTATATTGGCGGTTATTTGAGATAAATACTTCTGTCATGCCAGTTCGTATGGAAACAAATCTTTTTTCTAAATCTGTTATTGACTAAAATATTCAAAATTTTGTTTTGATAGAATGTTATATTTTAGGCGTGATATACACATACGCCTAAAAGACACGACTCACTAAAATCAAACTTTTCTTATTGTCCGTATTATGATCATTTTCATCATTACCAGTATCACAACATCCATTAAAATTACACCGAAAATCATTTCCTATCCCCCATAGATTGCCTCATAGAGGGAATATTCACAATAATTGACACGCTTGGTAAACAACCACAATTTTTAATTTTCCTAATGTTATTAGAAAGACGCCGCTGCCCATCATCTCACATTTCTGATCTGTTTCCCTTTGTTTATATTATAGTTTAAGATTATTACTTAAACGATATATACATAGTGCATGTCTTATGTTCTACAAGTGCATAAATTGCGTTGCATTGCATACAACTGACATAAAAAGCACATTTTCAGAAAGCTAAATGATGATAGAATTTTTTTATCGAGTAATTGCTATTTTACATTAAAAAAGTGGTTTTTGTGGCTTATGGTGTGGATTTATCAAGTCCACGTGGAGGGGTAAACACGATAACTTTTGAAAATATAAATTTTTCTACTCAATCCCTTTTTTAATCTCTTCATCTATCATATGGAAAGCCATGCAATGTTAATGGCAGTTTAATTTTGTTTTGTTTTTTTAATAATTTTTTTGGCTGAGAATTTTAAAAAAAATACACATTAAGTTGAGTCTGACTCACTTCGGGGTCTGCCGCCGCGTTGAGTGAATAACAGTATCGTTTGTTTCCAGCGGCTCGTGATGAAAAATATCGATCGCTGTAAAAACACAAAATATATCAATAACCAAATTTGATTGATATATATAGATATATATATATATATTATATAAATATATATATATATAGTATATATAATCACAGATTTTTATTACAATATATTTTTTTACTAAAAGTGCGTAAGATTTGAATATAAATATACTTAAACATCTGGGACTTTTCGGAGTCAGTACCTGAAGGTATACCTCGGTTTCTGCTACTGGAAATCCTTGACGAGTAGAACTACGTGTACCGAAATTGTGCTCGTTATGTTAGTAATGACGAAACCTCACCTTCTGACTTGATAGAGTGACCTAAAAGTATACTTCGGTGCATGCAACTGGAACTGCTGGAAGAGAAGTAATAGTAGTAGTTTGGGCTCGTTTTGTTAGTTTTGATGGGACTTATCTTCGTACGGTAGCGGATTATCATTAAGGCAAACTAGGCACCTGCCAAGGGGCGCAAAGTTAAAAAGGGGCGCGCGCGGAGGTTTTTAAATGAAAAAAAGTCAGATCGCTTGAAAGGTTATTAGTGAAATTTGTGTGTATTTAAAATACGCACTATAAAAAACGCTGTTGTCCTGGCATTTCTTTAAAAAAAAAACACACGCATATACACAACAGTCAAGTCAAGTAGTGTCAATATCACCGTAAAAATATTAAATTACTAAATTATTATAAACGAGTCCTTTACATCCTTTCTTTTTTTTAAGCTGCCAAACAGCAGTACTTATAATGCAACATTCCGGTCTGAAAGGTCAAG